TACTTTCAAGTTCCAATACCTAACCATGGAAGCCTGTTAGCAGAATGGTCCTCATCTGAGGATAAGCAAGACTTTTTGCACAAAGTTAGCTAATAAATCTTTAACTTTAGGGGTAAACATCAAGTGTCATGTTTATCATACCAACCACTACAAGCAACATTTGATTATCCCCACAAAGTCTCATATGTATCATCACAACCAACATGGATCAGAATTTCTTAACTCATTACTAATCCTATATCTCAGGTGACATCGCAGTACTCTTATCCTAAGGGGGGCATATTCAAATCGATTACAAGAAATCAGAAATCAGGTAAACCTAATAAATTAGTTTATGAAAAAGGCCGTTGTTAAACCCATTTGGCCATATAAAACTTAGATGCACTATCCCGCATGATCCAAGGGCCATCAGTCGTGCCTTGCTTGACTTGTGAACTCTGGTCATGTTCCCTCGATATACAACCACAAACCTAGTCGTGCAAATGGTAATTCAGGATAGGCAGCAGAGGGGGTATGTCAGTTTCCTAAGTCATACAAGGTGAAGACTCAGTATGTTTGTACTTTCAAGTTCCAATACCTAACCATGGAAGCCTGTTAGCAGAATGGTCCTCATCTGACACAAGCAAGCCTACCACAACCATAGCACAAACCTACTTCTTAGGGGTAAGAGTCGGTTCTGCTGCTCATACCAACCAGCCAACATAGGCCGTGTTCGGCTGGCTGGCTGGCTGATTGCCGGCTGGCCAGCCATCTCACAAAATCACTATTTACATTTTTTTTTTTTAGTATTTTTGAATAATTTATGAACAATTTGATGATATTTTTGAACAATTTGATATATATACTTCTCCCCACCCGAAATCCATAGAAATAATTTGGATCGGAATCTTTCTTTTTGGCATATATTTATGTTATTCTCAAATTACACCACTATGTCCAATAAATTACAATGAATAAGTCATTATAAATATAGTAATAAGTTAGTGTAAATATAGGTAGAAGACAATGTAAGTGTATGGGAAAAATTCAGTTAATAGCAGGAGCCAAAAACAATTGAATGACACGTAGACAGATCCTATAAAATAAGTAAGGTGTTAGGATGCTCCAACTAATCATGTATAGATATAGATTGTTATTTTCAAATTTATTTGTTTATTTGTTGTATTTGGTGTGGACTCTTCCATAAAATATAGACCATTAAATCATTTAGTACTTCCTATGTCCCTAAATAAATCAATGTCTAGAGATGTCTGAAGTCAATTTTTTGAAGTTTGGCTGAATTTACACAAAAGAGCGCCAAGATTTATGGCACCAAATCAAGTGTCATTAGATACATCATAAACTATATTTTTTATAATATGTTTATTTGGTAACACAAATATTTGTGCTTTTTTCCCTACGAGTCCAGTTAAACATAACAAAACTAGAAGATACGGCGCGCATTGCCGCGGGGATTGCTAAGGATTTTGAATGAAATTAACCGAAGATGATGTGGATAACTTATATTAAGATGTTGAAAATTAGTGGGATGACATGATTATTAGTGTAGATGATGTGGATAGTTAGGGGGTGATGTGGATGGCTTGTATGTTGTAGTGGGTATTAGCTTTATAGGAGATACAAATTTGACTTGGAACAATTCTAGAAATTAATTTATTCAGGGACGGAGGGGGTGGTTTTTAAGGTTTGAGTAAATCTTATGTTAGATGATATGTTGTTGTGAAGCGAGAGAGTAGATTGCTACCTTTTTCATAATTTTATGCCAAACCTACGAGGCAGATAATGGCGCCCACCATAAACGTGTAACGTAGTATAGTTGGTTGCGTTTAGGATTTCAAATGCTCTAAGATAAACACAACATTATTGTTATAGGGTGTTTTTTGGTTGACAAGCAAGTTTTGTTGTCGGTTGCGTTTAAGATTGCAAATGCTCTAAGATAAACATGATCAGTATTGTCATAGGTTTTTTTGGTTGACAAGCAAGTTTTGTCGCAGTTTACATATATTCTACAAAATAGAAACATAAGAGGTGATTAGTCAGAACTCTTATTGCGTGCTTATTTATGCAAGGGAAGAGAGACTAATATGTAAAGACAGATATATTTATAGAAGAAAAGAAAAGTTTAATTCTTTTTTTTTGCAAGGAAAAGAAAGGTTTAATCAATTATGTAAGGAAACTAATAATAAGCTAGAAGAGTTCAGTCAGAAACCATACGGACTTGTTTGGAACGCGGGAATTTCATAAGAATTACGCAAGGTTTTCATAGGTTTATTTTCACAGGAAAAACGTACGAACAGGAAAAAAAATCACGTTTGTTCTAAATACTGCCTACATTGAGATCCTGAAAGGACGCACGAAAGCTAAACAAAACGCTTAGGACGTGATTGAATTGGGCGGGCCTGTCTTCTCCGGAATAGCCTACTCCGACACTTGTCCCCTGCAAATTGGCAAGCGGATCCGTGCGGGCGAGGAATTCCGGCTCCGTTGGCATCCCGTGCGGTTGCGCAACCGCGCGCCGCTGACTTCTCCCGCGCATCGCGCACGTGACTCCCGCCCGCATGACGAGTCACGACACGGCTGCGGCCGGGTCCCGGCTTGGGATTTTGGATTGGATGGACGCATCCATCCGCGGCCGTTATGTTCGGTATGCCGGCGTTGGACGGGAGCGGCGCGGGCGCCGAGCACACGGCACACGGCAGGTGGGCAGCCGACCCGTGACTTCCAACGGAACCGGCAGGTAGTGGAAAGCCTTTTCGATCGGCGCGATCGGGGCGGCATGGGTCGCCGCGCGGGCAGTCGTACGCCGGCCGGCGAAGTGGCGAGGTCCAAGTCGAACCCGGCAAGCCATCCAGACCCGAGCAATAGCGTGCACGGGTTTGATTTTGATCGGTCAGGCTCAGGCAGGCCGCGAGCCACTGCCCAAAAAACCCACCCTGCCAAATCTCTTGGAATTGACCGTACCTCTCCGGAGTCCGGACAGATTTCTATATGTCACAAGTCGTCACGCATCTGCTGACGCGAACCACACGCCCAGGACGGTTTACGCTATGTACGAGGACTAGTGACTGCTCAGGTTAGTGATTGGCCAGGCTAATCATCGGCCGATGAGACTGTATGCCGGTATAGCATAGCAGTACTCAGCTGAAGCCGTCGCGTATCTGCTGACGCAAACCACACGCGCCCAGGACGGTTAACCATCGGATAATCACACCGTATGCCGTATGCTGTATAGCAGTATACCAGTTCTTATCGAATTTTTTCTCTCCCTGTGCTGTGCTGTTCAGTTGCTAGCTCGTTCCACTATCCCAGCCAGGGGCGTCCACCTAACACTTGGCGTGATTAGCGACTGGATTATTTTGATGCATGCGAGGTGCTCAGCTCCGGCGCGTGCCTGATTTGATTTAAGCGCCGGTTAGTGCGGATCGAGCGAAAAAAGAGAGCAGAAAAAAATGAGAGAAGGGGTTCGGCACTTCGGCTAGGTGGTCAATCGATTTGATTTAACTCGTCCGTTCTGTTTTTTTTGTCCTGCTGCGACTTGGACCATGGGTGAGCTCCCCGCATTGTTTACCGCCGCAACTTCTCCCGTCCTCCGTACTCCGGAGACTGTAGACAGAGTGTGACACATACACCGTCTCCTACGCCGTACATGGACATGCATGCACATGCTGCCTCAGCCCTCACTACCGTCTGACACAGGATTCAAAGGGCAGCGGAGGAAGAAGGCCGGACCGCGGACGATTCTCTCCGTCGTTTCCTTGTGCTGATGCTTGATGGAATGATGGTTAGGTAACTTCGGCTGCACACGGACTTACTAAAAGACTGTGATGTGAATGTGAATTCTGCCCTAACCTCACCATCCACCCACCACACAAGTTTTTCTGTGACTCGCCTTTTCTTTTCTTCCTCTCCTAGACCCTATATCTATTAGGAGAAAAGTGGTCAGAACCCAGAGCCCGGAAGTTCAGCTTCAGAGTATGTATGCCATGACTTGGAACCTCAGACTCAGACTCGAAGCCGACAGGAAGCAGCAGCCGGTCGGCGGTAGCGAGTGAGTGGGGAGCCCACTGGCCAGTGGAACGGTCTATCCAAAGCAGCACATGCAACTTGCAGCTTTTCACGTAATCATGCTGCCTAAGTCCTGTGGAAAATGTTGCAATTCTGTCCAATGGAATGCGTCGATGCTTCCAAGCTCCATCGGTCAGAACCGAGATAAGGTGCTGGTCGGCCGTATTGGCACGGGCACCTCATGTCAGTCGTTCATTTCCAGCTGCTTTGCGGCTCCTCCCAGTATCAGTGCTGTGTTGTATGGTACAATACTAGCTCGTGATATGATCAGGATGGCTGGTTGTGTGCCCATGGAGGGGGAAAAAAGACCAACAAGATCGATGAAGATATGAATATAACAGTCACTGAGAAGTACTAATCCTAAAAAAAATCAGTCGAGAAGTTGAGAATATATCTTCCTGTGTGCAAAAAGAAAGAAAAAGCATGTAGTAAGACAAAATGGCAGCCTTTTCTGTGGAAGGGTTTGTAAACCCGTTCCTACCGACTCAGAAACTGCAACAATGAAAGAGGCAGCACAAGCCAAAAGGTCTGAATTCAATGGGAGGCGTTACAATGTTCCTCGGTTTTTATTCCAAGAGGAAACAAGTGATATACAAATTACACAATTTATTCGTATTTACTTGTAACAAATACATTGCCAACAGTGAACCCAACTCGCAAGCACAGAACAACTACCCAAATTCACACAAACGGTCAACGCGAGTTAACCGAATGCATCCTGAATTGCTGATGCAGATAAATCGCAGCTATGCAAGCACAATACACACGAAACAAATATCATCAACAATGAAACGAATGAATCTGTATCCGTTTCTGAACGAACCACGCCTCTGTTACTTGCTACGTGTTGATGCCTTTTATTGGTGACCAACAGATCATATTGTGTCCACAAGTAATGGACACACAAGAATCACAACAATCTTCTCAAATATGTGCTAAGCTTGCAAATATCCGTTCTCTTCAAGGTAGCATAGAACTTGCTTGGCCATTGCTTTGGGTGAAGGGCATTCCCCATCTTTCATCGTAATTACTATCTGTATAAGACCGCACAAAGATCAAGCCAGCTTTTCAAAATAAATGGTTAAATTTGCATTTAAATATGGCAATAGAGGCAAAGGGTTATGGTCGACTGCTGAATGATGACCATAGCTAATTTTTTATTAAATGAAATGAGCAAGTCAAACTTAATATGGAAACCATATCTAAAATATAAGAAAATATTGCTTTTGTTTCTAAAGCTGGTAATCAGAATCCAGACGTATGTATGGCATTCCCAAATTGCATGAACTAAACTCATAGCTAACAAGGAATTAGTGTTATTGTCATCAGGCATCAGCTTTAAGTAGTCCATAGTGGAAAATACAAGCTATTGCTTAATTTTAACTTTGTTACATGCTGTTAATTCTTCACTGAATGAGGATCACTGGAGCATAGAGATAGTGATGGAAACAATAAAAAAAATTCTTATAGCTCTATTTCTCAACGTTAAGGAATAAGAGCGTAGAAAGGAAGTGCTTGTTTGTGCTAAACATCAGTAGTCACAGCATAATGACGTCCGGAAGCACTACATCAATAGTGAGGACTCTATATTTCAGAGTTACAGTTCTAGAAATTGTACTGTACGGTGTGATCATGTAAGAAGTAAGGCATGCTCTTTAGGCTCACCTCACCATTAACTGGTGGTTCGTATGGATCATCAACTCCAGTGAAACCTGTTTGTCAAATGGAAATGCTTGAAGTCACTTCTTTCACCTGGGGTGTCCCATAGAGGAAACTTGAATGTCTAGAAAAGGTTCAAAGGCTGACTGTACCTTTAATCTTTCCTGTGCGTGCAAGCTTGTACAGACCTTTAGGATCACGAGCTTCACAAATTTTTAGGGGCAAATCCAAAAATACCTACAGAGCTTGCATGTAGTTAGATAGGCTATTAACACTGACAGAACTTAAAAGAATCATAAGTGAGCATACTTCAATAAAGACAGAATCTGGAAGTAGAGCACGGCATGCATCACGATCTCTCCTGTATGGAGATATCAAGCTAGCAATGCATATGATACCAGCATCGGCAAAAAGCTTTGCCACTTCACCTGCACAAAAGATTTAGCTATAGTGAAAGAATCTCTAGTGAATCGTCTTCTTTTTTCAGAACTTACCAACTCTTCGTATATTTTCTGCACGGTCTTCTGCCTTAAAGCTTAAATCTCGAGTTAGGCCATGTCTAAGGTTGTCACCATCAAGTGCATATGTGAGGTGGCCTCTATAATGCAACTCACGACTCAGTGCACATGCAAGAGTACTTTTCCCTGGCATACAAAAAAGATGGCAGGTTATTGTGATGGCTCCCTTATGCTAATATATTTATGAGTCCTGTACTTCTATAGTTCTATGGATAGAGAACGAAGAAATCAGAAACTTTGGTTCATGGTAGCCAAACACAGTGACAAGGAAGTGCTATCTTAGACCAACATGCAAATTCTCAAAAGAATGCAAATTCTGAAATAACACTCAGCCACTCAGGAGCTAACTTAGAACAGCATGCGAGGGAAAAGAAACCAGGGTCTGTGTGAACAACATTGCAAACACGGTCAACAGGTATTATGTCAACACTATCCACAATCACTTTGTAGCAGAGGGAGTACTAAAAGATTAAGAAAATTCGAATTGAAAATGAATCTAGTAGAAGCATCATCACAGTACAGAGCGCAGGACTATTACCTGCATTGATGCCAATACACAAAGCATGCCAGATTTGGTTCTTATTGTGAAGACGTTAACTCTAGCCTACCCCAACTTGTTTGGGACTTAAAGGCTTTGTTGTTGTTGTTGTTGTTGTTGTTGTTGTTGTGAAGACGTTAACTAGGCAGCAAACCAGCTTGTGAAAAATTCATTTGTCAACAGGGCAACAGTACATTCTGAGTGATTCATAGTCATCAAGATGGCAGCATTCAGCTGCCTATAGAGCAGACATAAAACTAATACAGCATTGAACTCAAGTAAGCTTATAAAAGAAGTGTTTAGATTGTATAGAAGTTCAAATCTAAAGCTTGATTTAGTTCAACATAACCAGATATCTTATCAGATGGCGAGGAAATGACTTGCATTAAAATAATTGGGAAAAACTCTAAGCCTGCATGAGTATATTGGTTGAGATTGAACACTCAAATTAAATGACTAATTGCTTCTCGCCCTTGGGCCGGCTTGCCTATTCATGTGCCACATAATGGTCGAGCCCTCTTCAAGGTGGCTGTGGAGTCTGTGGTTGGAAATGGCCGAAATACTATGTTCTGGACTGATAGATGGTTGGGTGGAAAAAACATAGAAGAATTAGATCCTAACCTTCTCAAGACAGTTACTAAGAGGGCTATTAAGAAACACATGGTTGCGGATGCTAATGCTGGTCGTCGATGGGTTTCTGATATAAAGGGTGCTCCCTAAACAAATTACTAAACCATGTCATGAGCATCATGTTTACGTGATAATGCATGTGATGGAATGAATAGATGAAGTATTGCAACCTAAAATGATCAATAAAAATGCTAAATGAGAAGCTATTCCATAACTCAGGCAATTATCAAGTAGGGTTTTAAACCAATTTTTATGGAACCAAATACTATAGAACATGTGTGTGATGCTTAAATAAAGTTTGAAGTACAAACTTTGTAGATGACAATGAAATACTTGCTGAGGAAAATAACATTGCTAGCTAACATTTCTAATAGCCTAAAAATGGAACTTGAAATCAAATTCAGCTCAAGGACTTTGAAGAATTTAAGTATATATAAGCAGCAAGACAATGCAATGTTTGGCGATTTATTTTGTGAAATCGAGTTAGGAGGTGGCGTCGTGTTTTAGCTCGGGTTGATAGCCTGATATGCTCTCTGAAGCATGGTGAAGATGATTTAGGCTCAAGAGCAACCGTTTAGTCGTTATAGGCGATTTAAATTTCGTGCGCGACACGTTCTTGGGTTGGTTGGTAGGGTGGGCGCGGTCACCACGTCCCAGGAGCACGACGTCACCTCATCATCGGCTCGCCCAGCGCATACGCGCGCGCAGGAGGTTGCATCACCGTGGCGCGTCTTTGCTTGCTGCCATTGTTGTTGCAGACGGCCGAGCGGCGCTGCCGCACTGCCGACCCGCCTGCTGCATGCGACGCGCAATGCCGCCATCGCCGCCGCATCGCCGCCGCGTCTCCTACCGCTCATTGTTCCCTTACCTTACCCGCCGCCACCGCCCGATTAGATGCAGCGCAAGACGCGGTCAAGCTCGCCGTCGCCATGCCATTTATGCACTGCGGCCACGCGGGCCATGTCGGTCGTGGACGTGCGCACTTGTCCGTAGCATCTGCGCGCGTGTCTCCCCGATCACGCCGGCCATGTCCCGCCAAGGCGAGCCCGAGCTGAGCCCACCTGTCGTGCCTCGTCAATTCGGCACGTTTGCGGCTTCACCATCAAGTTCTCCAGTTGCCCAACCCCACCCAGCCATGAAGCACGCACTGCCAAGCTCCAATTTGGCGCTTTTTCCGCCGCCGTGCTGATAAGGCCGCGTCCGGTCGCAGACGAGGGCAGCCCCCTACCGTCCGCACCGATCCAATTCACCGGCACCACTAGCTTCGCCTCACCTCCCTCTTCACCTTGCGCACGTCAGTGGAACCGCTACCGCCTCCTCGTCGCCGCTGACACGACCATGCCACCGCGGTGCGCTGCCGCACGGCTCGGCCGCACGTGGCCACCCCTCCTCCGCCATCCTCCACCCCAACCGTCACTTCGTCCTGGTCCATGGTAGCCTCCTGATGCTCACGCGTGAGTCAGTTAGGTCCGTAGTAGCCCTAGCTCACCAGAACGGGTGCGCCGCCGCCTCAGACGGCCGCGTGTCGCTGCAGCTCGCTCCAGCGCGTTCCGCCGCCCTGCGTTGCTTTGCTTGGTGTAGGTGGTTGGACCGTAGTTGAAGGTCGACCCGACTGATGGGCCTTCGCGAGCCCCAGGTGGCCGCCGTAGCCGCGCTATGCCACCGCCTGCCGTGCCGCCGTGTGCTGAGTCACTGGGGGTGCGCGCGGGTGAATTAGGGAAAGGTCGGGGGGGTTTAGTGAGAAGTCTTGTGAGAAAGGGAAATAGCGTTAGGACTTAGTTGTAATTCGGGAGTAGTGTGAGGTCTATTTTGCAAAAAAGCACCAGCCTAGCATGGATTCCCCATTCCTTGTGGGACGTCCATGGCTGGCAAGCATCGGCATGCATCGCGTGTTCCCGCTTTTTCTTTTCGGGGGATTAGTAAATAGTTTTCTAATCTAATTTCTGAGCTGATCTTTGGTAATTAATATAAAATCATGTAGGTGTCCAAAAATTGTGAAATAAATTTTGTTAAGTTTCTAAAATTGTGATCTATCTGTTAGTGTATTTAGTTCATATATATACATGTTGATATCAGGAGCTATTAAATCGTTTGAAAAAGCTTCATATTATTAAAATTAATCATTGTAGGAATTTTTGTGGTAAATTAGTGATAGCTTTAGTCCTGAAATTTTTATAGTAGCTTCATTGTATTATTATGTGCTAACTGTAATTTTTGTAGTCTTAGAATAGACGAAGCATTATGATAGTTAAATGCTCTTTGTTTCAATATACATTAAATCCCTAGTACAAATAAAGATATATCCTTAATTTGCCAAGCTAAGGGTTTGTTAGTTGAACCCAACACTTTGCTTGATGAAGATGGTAGTTAGCTTAGTACCTTTGTCATTAGAGCTAGCTTAGTAGCTTAGTATGTGTATTCCTATTTTAAGAGTTGTTGTTGCTTAAATGTTAAGTGTTACATCATCATCGCATGCATATAGAGAACGAGTTGGTGAAGATAGTGACCACAGACGATCACGAGTTCGAGGAGATCGTCGAGGAGTATGAGGAGATTCTCGTGCAGGAGGTCCCAGAGCCACCACAGATTGACTCGGCTGACACCGCGCCTGCCCAAGGCAAGCCCAGTGCGTAATCCCTTATTTTTTATAATCACTGTATATATATGTGTTGTGCATTTACGTTACAGGAATTTTATGAAAACCACATGCATAGATATATCTACTTATGAGTCCTACTAGTATAGGTTCGAGTAGCTGCTATGCTTAGGCTTTCGGATAGCGTGAGTAACCTGTCGTTACTCACAATAGGTGATTATTATATTTACTCTCACGATAAAATGATGAAAGAAAAAAGAAACCGGGTAGGGATATGGTATGAGTTATGGTGAGTGATGAGTTGTGTCCCGTGGCCACGGGGCTTAGCTTGGTTACACTGTTTTCCCTGTCCGTGTCGATTGATGTGGGGTATGACCTCGGATACCCACGGCAGACTACATGGGCTGCGCCGCCAGGGGTGATCCAGCCCACAAGACGAAGACTTACGGTGCACGGTGCTGCTCGGAGTGTACCGCAAGACATCAAGGGCGATATCTTGAAGATGCTACGAGATCTGTTAGGATATGCTCGATCCCGTGATTCTTGTAATCTGTTATTACTTACCGGTTATCTCCTAGATCTAACCGACTTGTAACCCTACCCCCGGCTATATAAGGCGGGTAGGGGACCCCCTCAAAACAGACGCAATATCATACGATAGCCAATATAAACCAACATGCCACAGGAGTAGGGTATTACGTCGTGCTGAAGGCCCGAACCTGTCTAACTCTTGTGTCTCTGTTGCCTTCTTGTTCTTGATTACGCGCGCCTCTGCCGATCAATCTACCTTCGTGGGATACCCCTCATAGGACTACCGACGATATTATGTCGACAGTTGGCGCGCCAGGTAGGGGTGTGTGTGCTGTTTCCATGATGAACAAGATGGTACATTTTGCAGGCTCTTCGTCCTCTCCAAAGCCCGACCAGATCTTTACGGTCGGATCGATCTCCTGGGTCATCAATGCTGACGGAGACGGAGAGATCATCAAGCCGGTGTAGATCGATTCTGCGCCGACCACACCAGCACCTGCAACAGTAGATTCGATCTCAGAACCGCCTCCGGGGTCATCTTCACCAATAACTCGCCGCCCGCTCCCCCGCTACCCGAGGAAGCAGATCGGCAACGACGATCTGATCGCATCCATCGATTAGGTCGGCTAGAAGCTCGCCGACTGCCTCTCCCTCACGGAATCGGCGCCGACCACCTTCCGGTTCCGATCTATCGGAAGCCGAATGGGAAACTCCAGGGGACACGGTCACCATCCATCAGGATGCCCTAAGGGGCAAATTCGCCGACCAGATTGGGGACATCTACCCTCTCGCCGACCCAATCGCCGACTAGCTCTCGCTGACTGACAATATGCTGCAAATCGGCCAACATCCCGAAGAATCCCTCCACACCATCCTGGAGGAAAATCCAGACTCTGAGTCCCAGGGCTCTATGGAGATTGTCGCCGAAATCGCTGCCGTCCAACCTCCTTTTCCACCCTTCCGAAGGAGGTGGGATTTTTAATGTCAGTATCGACAACCCTCCGCGGGATGGAGAAACTGATGAGGACCGCGCAGCTCGTGTCAACAGAAACGCCAACCATGTGCAGCGCCGAGCGAATGAGGCCGCCATTGTACTAGCCGAGGCTGCTCGCAACGGAGAACAACTCGACTCGCGAGGGAGGCCACGCCCACAACGCCGCAACCTCGACGACGAATTCGTCTGTGTCGACGGCCACGATGTCTACAAAACCCCAAGCGCCAACTTGGTCATGGCCGTTAATGAGCTCGC